CCCCCCCCCCCCCCCCCCCCCCCCCCCCCCCCACACCGCAAACGGTGCGACTTTCAAAAACGTACGAGTCGATCGTGTTTTCTCGGAAGCAGCGAGGCACGTTGCTCTTTGCTGCTGACGGGTGGGCCAACGTCGCAGAGTGTGTAACCCTGCTTGACGGACAATGGATAACAAAGCTCCAATCAGAGACAAACACCCTGGCGGCGACGCCACCATCTGTGAGCGTGTGCAAGCGGCGAAACCCCGCTCGGCGCCGCCGCCGCCGCCGCCGCTGGCTTGCCTTCTTGAGGGTCACCGTGATGGTGCCGTTCTCATCGCTCGGGTCGTACACCGCCTTGCAGCTGCCGTCGTCGTCCTCCCCCCCGACCTCGTACGGGAGCGTCAGCCTGCGGGCGGCGGACGGAGCAACGAACGCACGTGCGGGGGCAAGGAAGATGACAGCGGTCCGATATACTGTACCACTACTGAGGACTAGAGCAGTTTCATAGTTTAAGAGACCCATTGTCGTAGTTAAAGAGACGGATACATGGCTCTATTGGCCGAAGAAGAGACACGACAACGTCCAGGGTAGGAATACCGGTTTCCACCGCTAGACTACTGTCTTGACAAAGATGATTTCCCCCCTGTTAAGTGTTGACGCTTGTGGCGGACCCACGATCCTCATGTTTCCGCTTAGGCCGTGAGAATATCAGCGAAGCTAACCCCATCCTTGAACACAATACTCGGTAGCTTCGAGAGCCCAGCACCAACATGTCGAAGGAAAAGGTGACCTTTGTTCACAAAGCCACCTCCCCAATGTCGTACGAGGATGATGCGCCCTATTCTGCATAACATCACCCTTGGTGGCATCGCGGTAAGATGTGTGACCGCGGCGGAAGACAACCCGCCAGTAGCCACAACACGGTGGAAATGCCGACCGGGCCTCGTTTTTCTCACCGCTGGCTAGGGTGGCAAAAGATGCGGTGGATAGCATGCATTTTCGGAGCCATATCGAAACTACTCAATGCTCTGCCGTGCTTTAACGTGGAGGTTGGAGGTTGGTGTTCAAGACCCAGGAGCGCAAAAAGGTGGGTACATACATTTCAGGCTGGGTGCAAACAGACAGAGCAGGAAAAACATAGGGGAAGTGAGGGGAACGACAACGATCAAATAGCCAGCTACCTGATGTTGTGTGCATGCTCACCTGAGCAGGTAAGGCTTGCAGTAGAAGGAGAAGTCCGTCCCGTCAACGTGCGTCTCCGCGCTCCCTACGCGAATGTGCGGCACCTTGATGCACACCACCACGGCAAGGTCCGTCTGAGACACCTTGAAGCGCGGCGTCGCAGGCATGTTGTCGTCGCCCCCCTATTCCAAACACACAACAATAAAACTTTCAACACCCGACGCGAACGAGCTGTTGTGTGCGAGAAGAGGTCACGCCGCAATATATCAAGGCACAGCAACCGTGTACGAAAACACTGACGCCCCGCGCCTGGGCGCGTGCGGACGTGTGCCTCCCTATTGGCCCACCAGGCCAGCTTACTCCAATTCGCAGACGCCTCTTCAAGTTGCCACCTCTCCTCGCGCTCTTGCTGCCGCTCCTCGCACCATTCACCGGGATAAGGGGAAGCCCTGACGGTACAGTCCCGTGACGGGGCGAAACTGTTCTGGTTTTTTGGTTCTGTTCTACGGGGAGAAAGTACCGGGGTACCGAGGTAGATGTGGTTGTTTTCGGGGCGGAATGTGGTTGTTGTTGTTGTTTCCTTCAAAATGCTAATCCCAAAATCAAGAAAAGAGTCGACCCGTGGTCACAAAAATGGTAGACCCATCAGAAGATCTAAAGAACACGCACACTTTTTAGCAAGAAAAGGGTACATGTGGTGGTTCGGTGTGATTTGAAAGTTCAAAACACATTCCACAGCTTGCAACCAGGGCCGCCTCAACCAAAGACACCCCGCTCACTTGGCAGTGCTCTCTCTCTCTCTCTCCCTCTCTGTCTCTCTCCCTTGCAGGTTGGCCAGAACAACAACCCCCAACCGCACACCAAAGCGCGGCCTTTCCGCTCTTCGGAAGGGCGTCATCGTATCGCCAGGCTCAGTGACCTCTTTTGGGATAAGCGGCGAATCCTACCGGGCTTCTGGCGGCCGCCTTTTTTGGGGGAAGGGAGGATGAAGCTCTTGGTGCCTCTATACATCTACCCTCTCCATGATGATTCTCTCGGTGAGAACGAGAAAGCAAGCCGTGTATTTTTTGGGTCAGAGGTTGTATAGAGGGCGAACGTGCGGCGGCCTACCCTGCTGTGTCCCCTGGCCCCTCTTCCCGTGCGCCACAGCAATGCGGTTCACTTACTTTCGCCGCCGATTTGTATCGTATGCGTACATATCATCACCCGTTGTGCTTTCTTTTCGCTCTCTCTGCTGGATGGATCTTCGGAACAAGAGAGGCACGTTGGCACCCAATCGCTCCCACTTCCGTGATGCGATGTAGTACCCGTCCACGAATTCTTCATCCGTGCGACCTCCTTGTCAACCCCCCTCCGTCCTGTCTCTATCTCTCCGACCAGGGAGAAGGCAGCAGCTCTCACCCTTCTCCCGATCAAGTAACTCGAAACAACTGAAGTCGTTTGCCGCCAAACTGGGCACGGCGGCGGGCATCTCCGTTCGTCTGTATTTGTGCAGCGTACACATGCCCGCAGCCCGCTTGCGCACTAAATACTACGCTGTTCTATATAAAATTCCTTGCCGACGGATCATCCGTCACTGAACTGCTGTTGGCACGAAAAATGGCTGGTACCTGGCGGTCACGTCGCTGATAGTGGTGGTTGAGGGGAGAGCACACTCAATCTCTCGGTGTGTGCGGTGCACGCTAATAGTCTAATTGCTTCCCATTCCGGCCGGCCCACACTGATTTATTTGTAGTATTTGACTTGCGGAGCCCTCGGGGCCAGTTTATTTGAATGTACCTTTTTAGGGTGAGTTAGCCTGCGACCACGGGAGTCGACCGCGTCGAGTGTTGGATCAGTACGGACATGGGAAGGTACTGAGTAGAGAGAGATCGGAACGGTTTTTGATGTGAAGACAACAACAACAACAACAACACTCTCTCGTTGTTGCACCTGCAACCATTTGGATTTTTAGTTTTTGGACTTCAGCACAGTCCTGGTTCCGACAGGCAAAATCTATATCTTTTACCGGCTAATGCTGTTTGCTGTTGTCGTCGTTGGTTGTGCTTCGTCACGTTAGGAAGCCGTTCCGATCTCTCCATCCAGTTCCTTCGTCTGTCCGTACTACAGCAGTACATACTGTAGATAGGTGAATATGTATGTTGTACTGACGCGGTCGATTCCCGTGGTCACAGCCTTACCCGATAACACGTGGTATCCTTCGAAGAAGCATGCAGACACGTTCTCCTTGTTGGCGCCTCCAATTTGATAAGTCTTTGGCAGCCATCGATTGCTTCCATTCTATTCCGCTGATCGTCAATACGCACACGCTCAGTGGTAGACAAAAAGGGAGAGACAGAAGAGAAAAGGGTCCCACTTGCTGCCTACTTCCCGCACCGTAGACGGGTGTATGTTGTTGATTTTTGTTTCCATGTACTCCACAAGTAGATTCGTTTGATTTGCCCTCTATTCGTTGAGCTATTGGATTGGATGTTTGTTGCCCGCTGTAATTGCGTCTGTGCGAGATTTGAACTTTTGTTCCTGTAACCCTTGGTCGACCAATATAGCAGTTGTAATCGACATTGATCGGTGACATGTACTGAGCGTTCGGGCTCCGGTGTTTCCGTAAGGCAGACTTCACTCCGTTAGCGTGCGGTCCGGTATACCGTGCACCGAGATAATCGTGGTGATTATGCCCAAGCTCGCATGCTCTCGAATCCGAAAAGACCCCGGAGGAACAAAGCAGGTGTCAGCTAGAGTTCCGGAACCTTCCTGGGCATCTGGCCCTATGCATATGTCTTTCATGGCCACATGGCCACAGAATCGAGAATCGAGTACGCCGTAAGAACCATGGTATCACACGACAACGGGAAAAAAGCAGGGCGCCTACCATTCCTACATGTAGGCGTACAGACCCATAGTGAGACGCTCGGAGCACATTCCATACGTACCTGAGAGATGGGGTGAGTTACAGAGCGGACAGCACATCTGTGACATTCCGAACTTTGTACTCGGAGTAACTACGGAACCGTTTCCTCCGACCACCGTGTGCACGAGTTCGCAAAGAACGAACTTGAACCAAAAAATAAGCACATGTACCTCTTGTAGCGATTTCCGGGCAAGACAGAGCTGATCATAGGGAGGGATGGCAACCCTGGGGGTACGGTTCGTGGCTACAAAGCCACACCGGATACGTGCATCAACTTTTGTTGAGAACCACGATGACCACTAGACCACTCGTCAGCGCTGACTGCTGGTGGAGTGCTCATCGTGCTTCTCAACAGAGCTGGTTCGGGATTCTGGTGTGGCATGCATTTGTATTCTTGTCTTGCGATGACCTCGAGAACCGAAACCACCAGGGGATCCTTTGGATGTAGCTTCGGCAAGTAAGCTGAATTGCGCCCAAAAGGCCAGAATACGATTACCCTGTGGACGTGGAAGTTTATTATTTTTCGGAACTATCGCTAGCTGTTGGCGCAGCGCCTCCTAGAATACCCCCTCGAGGTTCCGCGCACACGGCATGCAGGACACAACCTATTTCGTCGTGTGTATGCGATGCGCCGTTTCGAGCGAGCGCAGACTCTACAAGAAGCACTGGCTCAACAACACGAGTGCCAGGCGGAGAATTGTCTCAAGAGTTCCTTTTGCACACGCCCGTGTTGCTCGTTTGGCACAGCACCTCATCACACTCCGTTGTCGTTGTTGTTGTTCCTGTTGCAACTGCTGTTTTTTTTTTTTTTTCCAAGAATATCCGTGGTGTGTTGTGTCACTGGCGCAGCGGTGTGTCGCTGCATTTCCAAACGGTCGGTGACGAGAACGAAAACACGATCGGCGACCTCAATAGCTCCGCTCTGTGAAACGATCGAAAAGAAACAAAACGCTCCCGCTCTGTGAGAAATTACATGTGTCCTCGCTCGGACACCGTCGCGGTAGAGCACCGAAACGAGACACGCGTCATGAACAACTCTGGCCATTACGTGACTTGATTCTTATCATCCCGAGGGAATTACGGATCGCACATCTCACACGACCCGGTCAAGGACCAAGTTGGCATACACAGCTCAGCGTCAGCGAGTGCCTACTACGCGGTATAGACCCTCGTCCCCCCATCCACTTCGAGAGGGCATGCCGCTGATCCCGGTCCCCAAGAATGATGACCCCCTCGTCCACGACAGAATTCTCACTAGCTTTTGTGGGATTGGTTGCGACACAGCAAGCAATTTGAGAATTTTCCCGCTCGGCGACAAGCACCCCCCCAACAGCTAGAATACATGCCCTTCTCTCATTTTTATTTCCTTGTGTTTCGTAGTGCCTGCCCTCTTTGTGGGCTCTGCGATCGACGCTGTTGTTCGGTGGATGTTCCCACTTCTACCTAGCTGGTCGCCCCGGTGGTCTAGTGGTATATCCTCGTAAACCGCTAATCGCAGAGGTCGTGAGTTTGGACTCCCATGGGGTGAACGGACTCCCATGGGGTGAAAAACTTGCTAAATTTGCTGGTGAACGCGAAATATAGCTGGAAAAGCTCTCGAGAGTACCAACCTTCGACGTTAGCACCGTTGACGAGGGAAAGGGACGGCTGGACCCTTCCCGCGATACAAATAAGAGTTCGGCACGCACCGCAGGAGGAAGGTGGGGCATGAAAAAAGATGAAAAGAAGAAAAAAGCCCTGGTATTTACCCCCTCCTGTGTGACCCTGGATAGTTGTAGTTGTACGAAAACAACGCTGAAAAGTGTAGTACTCTACATACTGTGAAAAGTGTAGTACACGTCTCACCACGAAAAATGGGGGGACTGTCGCCATAATAAAGAGGACGAAAACACACAGAACACACAGTCGTCCTGTTTGGAGCTCGGTGCTTCTGTAGTCTTTGAAGGCAACACGCGGTGCCTCTTTTTCTCTTGGTAACATTTTCTTAGCGGCGGGCCGCGGCTGCTTCAGAAGCTGCAGGTTTGCTGAGCCCCTCGATTGACAAGTCTCGGTTGTTTCTCTGAGATAGGACGCAACCACATGCTATAGGTGAGGCCCGCTTTTTGTATGCATAACCACTCATTTCTACAGGGCGGGCCCATTTGTCAACTTTCCGCGATTCCGCGAAAAAAAACGCACAACAGTTCTCGTTTTTTTTTTGTTCTTGAGCAGGGTCGTGCTGAGAAGTTTCTCAGCAGGCACCGCCTACGTGGTTTCTCCGCGTTCTCTTGCCGAATTCTCCCGATGTTTTTGTGACATGTTATCAGGAAGGCGAGGCAAACTGCCAATTCCCGACCAGAGTACTCAGCTTTTCTTGCGTCCAACCCTTCGTTG